CTGGGCACATGTGTGCCTGTGATCCAGGCTGGCTGTAGCCGTTATCAAGACCTCCAGGGTGCTGTGTCTCTATGTCTCTTATTCATGGAATAAACTTTAAAAAAAAAAAAAAAAAAGCATTTGTTCAGCTTAGAGCTCTATGATGAGAAGGGAGGATAGATAAACATGGAGAGGCAGTAGTATTCATTCCCAGGCCTGTCTGACCCAGAGCCCTTGTTAATTCCACTGCAGCATACTGCATTCTTCATAGAGTGGGCACTTTACTGAGTATGTGTTGAATGAACTAATCTTGGAAAAGTCAAAATTCTCCTCGATGTATCTGAGATTATGAAATATCTCTGCTATTGCTAATTCTCGGTATGTTTTACAGTACCTAGGACAGCAGGGCTACTCAGTAAATATTTGTGGAATAAATACATGGGCACTAAAATGCTCCATATGCTCTTATTTTAGTGTTCTGTTTATCTTAACAGGATGTATGCATTTTACTAATTTAATCGAATTTGCTACTGTAGCTCTGGGTGTGCCTATCATATTGGTCTTTTGTGTAGTTGTATTCATTTCAACCATAGCTGACTATAAAACCGCTTTTTATTTAAAGAAGAAAGATCTTTAAAACTCTTTAATGCTTGAGAGTTTTTATACCTTAACTGTGGCTTTCTAGTGAGCTCTTTTTTTTTTCTAAGAATTATTTATTTAATTTTTATTATTTATCATTGTTATTATTACCGTTTTAATTTACTATAGGGCATATGCACTTACTAAAGAGAGAGAGAAAGTGAGAAAGCAAGCCACCAGGTCCGGGAGTCAAACCATGGTCATCCATGTGGGAGTACAGTACCTTAACCAGCACACCAGTTGCTGGCCCCTGGACTCTTAATTAGAAGGAAACTTTGAAGCTTGCTGGTCACACTTAACCTCAAAATGCTTACCTGAGCACTGGCACAAAAATGGCAGCCACTATTCCTTCCAGCCATTGTTACATACTGAGCACTATACATTGCATATATTGCCCCTGTGAAGCTTCATGTTTGATATATTACTTGAGGTATCTCCACTTTTATGGCTCAGGAAACTCGGAATCAACAAGGATGAGAAAGTTGCCAAAAGTGGCAAAGCTTGGGACCAGCTGTTAGTGTAATGGCTATGTCACTGGACTCCCATGTAGTCGACTGCTGTTCAACCCTCAGACCCGGTGGCTTAAACTCACACCAGGCATGTGTGCATGCGTGTCCAAGATCCCGAGAGGAGAATGGAGGAGAAGGGATTGCGTCGTGGCCATCCCCCCTGGGGGGTGATTTCTTGCTTTCTGTCTGTCTGTCTCTGTCTTTCTGGCAAGCGCAGGCGCCCTATAGCGAAAACCTCTCCAAAATAAATAAATAAATAAATACATAAATAAATAAACAAACCTCACATCTTCAAGTCTTCCAAACACCAACGTAATTTAAAAAAAAAAAAAAGAAAGAAAGTAAAGCAGGCACTCATTATTATCTTCCAAACAAATTTCATTTAACATAGGCCTAACTCAACATTTTTGTATTTTTTTCACTGTTTTTTTTTTTTTTCCTTAAAAGAGATGTTTGCTACAGGGCATGCGCACTCACTAGAGAGACAAAGAGAGAGAAAAACAGAAAGCAAGAAATGACACCCCACCCACCCACCCACCCCCCGTTTTTTTTTTTTTTAATAAGCATTTGAACAGGGTGGTATTGCCTGGATTTATTTGATAATCATTCTAATTATAACATAATTTTATATCTTGTGTTTATTTATTTGATTTTATCTGGAAATTTTTCTCTACTTGTATAGTCTTCAATCATATTTTCCCCACTTTCTTCTCTAGTCTTCATTTTTAGGTTTTTGCCATGGAACTTTGTCTTTAGACAGGGAAATAGGAAGGAGAAGGCAGGATCGGCTTGCAGATAGTGGGAAAAATGGTCTGTGATCTAGATTTGATTTGCGAGGAACAAAAAAGAAGTAATTAGTAGTAAATAAACTTAAGATGCTCCTTTAATTACTGCAGGGATTGAAGAGTTTTGGGATTGAAAAATAAACATTTGTTTCTCTGAACAGCTTGTTAAATGTTCTTTTTTAAAAATAATTATTTTTTTTAACTTTTTTTATTTACTTATTTCAATTTGACCAGAGAGGGACAGAGTGAGAGCGAGAAAGAGGGAAAGTGAGAAAGCAAGCCACCAGGTCCAGGACTTGAACAGTGGTCGACCATGTGGGAGTTCAATGCCTCCAACCATCACCTGCTGACCCCGTTAAATGTTCTTTTTAAGTTCATTTGAATTGTGTAGGAACTTATTTTTTAAGTAGAAGGATAGATTTAGGAGCTTTATGTATACAGATTAAAAATTGAGGCTAAAATTAAATCTTTGTTGTTCCTTTAAGTTTATTCATTTTTTTCCATCAGAGGTGGAGAGCGACTCACAGAGAGACAAGCACCTTTAGCAGGGTCCTCATGCTACGATCCAACAAGATCACTGATGTGCTCACCTGGTGTGTTCAGGGAGGTCCTGCAAGAAACCCAGGACCTTTTCCGTGTAGGTCCAACTGTGCTACAACCCAGCCCATGGATCTTATTTTATTTTCCAATATATTAGATAGGACTTCCCATGCTTTTAATATTAGGTCATCAGGAAGGTCATGATATATTTTTCTATTTCTCTGTTAAAATGCATCATGACTGTCTCAACAACCCAATATTTTCCTATCCTTTTTTCTTTATACAAACTCAACTGCCTAGGTTAAAATATGTATAGTGTCCACCACTGTTTAGTGAAGAAAACTAGTTGCAGAAAGGTAGCAGTATGATACCAGTTAGCTTCAAAAATATGCCAGAAGCAAAACCATGTGCCTGGCACATCGTAGGAACTCAATATTCAGACTGTGTATGTATACGCATAAACAGATCCGAAAGTGTTTAATCCACAGTGTTAGGGGTGGTTACCTCTCGGAAGATATATGATCTGAGGTGTGTGTTTTTATTCTGTATAGTTCTGTGTTTGAATTTTTTGCAATAAGCTTTTAAAAGAAACATTTACAGTCTAAGGACAGACACCTCTTTCCCAAATAAACCCACTTGCATCTTTACCTCCTAACATGCATTTGAGCAATAATTAGCTCTACAGAATTATTGCTGCTTCATTAATTCAAGAAAGATGTTTTGTTTTGTTTTTAGAGTTTTTTTTCATAGGGTGCATGTACTAGTTGGAGAGAGAGACAGAGACAGCGAGAGAGAAAGTGAGAAATCACCCCCCAGGAGGGTGGCCATACTCCATCCAATCCCTTTTCCTCCATTCTTCTTCTGAGCTCTTGGGCATGCATGCACACATGCCTGGTGTGAGTTTCAAGCCACCAGATCCAAGACTCGAAGTGTGGCTGGCAATGTAACCACTATGCCATTTGTTGGCCCCAAGCATGGTATTGATCAAACATATTTGGTGCCATTTCCATATAATCTAATGAGGCTTTTTAGATAGAATTTTTTCAAAGGAAAATTTCAAAAACAAACAATTATACCAATCTCCAGCTTCAGTCGTTATCAACACATGGCCAATTTTGTGTCATCTTTTTTTTTTTTTTTTGGAGAGGTTTTTTTGCTATAGGGCGTGTGCGCTCGCTAGAAAGACAGAGAGAGACATAGAGACAGAAAGCAAGAAATCACTCCCCAGGGGGGATGACCACGCCACAATCCCTTCTCTTCTATTCTCCTCTCAGGATTTTGGGCACACACACACATCCACACACACACACACCCAGCGTGAGTTTGAAGCCACTGGGTCCAGGACATGAACCGCGGTTGACTACATGGGAGTCCAGTGACATAGCCATTACGCTAACTGCTGGTCCCTCATCTTTAAGACCTCATACCCACCCTATTTATTTTGAAGCATATCTCAGATATATAATTTAATCTAGAATTACTTTACATATCTAAAAGATGAGGACTTTTGTTTTAACACAACCAAAATATTAGGTTGTCAGGAAAGCCATGATGTATTTTTCTATGCAAAAAACACCCTGACTTTACCAACACCTCAATACCCTGTCCCACTTAAAAATTGAGCAAGTAAAACAATTGGACCCTCAGGGGAAGGGTCCTGGGTTTGCATCTCAGCACCTCCCTGCACATACAGGCTCATATACATGCTTGCCTGTGATCTGGGCGGACTGAAGTGGGGGGTGGATCACAGTGCAGAGATCCTGTTGGGGGTGTCTCTCTCTCTTAGTATGTCACATGGAATAAATGAATAAACTAAGAAACTGAACAATAGTTTCTTAATGTCGGTTTTCTAAGAAGTTTTTAATACTCTCTGATGTAGTTTTAACTTTCAGTTTCAGTTGCTATTTTTATTTACTTTCATTGATTGTAGTCTTCAAGTACTTTGAAGTTAATGTCTTTTTTTCCTTTCAAATTTAGTATACATTTTCCCCCTAGAATTGTAATGGAACCAAAATTATGAAATTTTTCTTTTGATTCCTTTGTTCAATATGAGAAACCTGGGGAACCAGCAGTTAACGTAATGGCTATGTCGCTGGACTCCCATGTAGTCGACCGCGGTTCGTGTCCTGGACCCAGTGGCTTAAAACTCATGCCAGGCACGTGTGTGTGCGTGCCCAAGATCCCAAGAGGAGAATGGAGGAGAAGGGATTGTAGTGTGACCATCCCCCCTGGGGGGTGATTTCTCGCTTTCTGTCTCTATGTCTCTCTTTGTCTGTCTGGCGAGCGCACGTGCCCTATAGCGAAAACCTCTCAAAAAAAAAAATATGTATATATATATATGAGAAACCTGAATAAATGATTGTATCTCTTTGTTTTCAAATTAAAAAAAAAAAGATTGAGGTATATATTATTGAGTCTTATGACATTAGAATGGAAAGCTTTTCATACCTTGATTATAATAGCAAAGTCACACAAATCATGATAAAAATTATTTTTTTAAAAATGCTTTTCTGATGTCTTGTTTGACTGTATTATTTTTGTTTTACAGAGGCCTTTCATTAACAGAAGATGGCAAAGCCCAGCCACAGCAGCTACGTCCTTCAGCAGCTAAACAACCAAAGGGAATGGGGTTTTCTCTGTGACTGCTGTATTGCAATTGATGACATTTACTTTCAAGCACACAAAGCAGTTCTAGCTGCCTGTAGCTCCTACTTCAGAATGTTTTTCATGAACCATCAACATAGTACTGCACAACTAAACCTCAGCAACATGAAAATTAGTGCGGAGTGTTTTGATCTCATTTTGCAATTTATGTATTTAGGGAAAATTATGACAGCTCCCTCCAGTTTTGAGCAGTTTAAAGTGGCAATGAATTATCTACAGCTGTACAATGTTCCTGACTGCTTAGAAGACATACAGGATGCGGATTGTTCTAGTTCAAAATGTTCATCTTCTGCTTCCAGCAAACAGAACAGCAAAATGATATTTGGGGTAAGAATGTATGAAGACACTGTGGCTAGAAATGGCAGTGAAGCCAACAGGTGGTGTGCAGAGCCAAGTTCAACAGTAAATACACCCCATAATAGAGAGCCTGATGAAGAATCTATACAATTAGGTAACTTTCCTGAACCACTGTTTGATGTATGTAAAAAAAGTTCAGTCTCCAAATTATCTACTCCAAAAGAACGTGTGTCACGACGCTTTGGACGGAGTTTTACTTGTGATAGCTGTGGATTTGGCTTTAGCTGTGAAAAATTATTAGATGAGCATGTGCTAACCTGTACTAACAGACATTCATACCAAAACACCAGATCTTACCACAGAATAGTAGATATGAGAGATGGAAAAGACAGTAACATCAAAGCTGAATTCAGTGAAAAGGATTCTTCGAAAACATTTGCTGGACAGACAGACAAATACAGAGGAGACACCAGCCAGGCTTCTGGTGATTCAGCTTCAACTACTGGAAGCAGAAAAAGTAGCACAGTGGATCCTGAACTAGCCAGTGAAGAGAAGAGCAGAGCTGCTGAAAGGAAAAGAATCATTATCAAGATGGAGCCAGAAGATATTCCTACAGATGAACTGAAAGACTTTAACATTATTAAAGTTACTGATAAAGACTGTAATGAATCCACTGACAATGATGAGTTGGAAGATGAACCTGAAGAGCCATTTTATAGATACTATGTTGAAGAAGATGTCAGCATTAAGAAAAGCAGTAGGAAAACTCTAAAACCTCAGATGTCAATAAATGCTGATGAAAGAGGTGGTTTAGAAAATATGAGACCTCCTAACAACAGCAGTCCCGCACAAGAGGATACTGAGAATGCTTCTTGTGAGCTATGTGGGCTCACAATAACTGAGGAGGACCTGTCATCACATTACTTAGCCAAACACATTGAAAATATCTGTGCATGTGGTAAATGTGGACAAATACTCGTCAAGGGTAGACAGCTTCAAGAACATGCTCAGAGATGTGGAGAACCCCAAGATCTGACAATGAATGGGTTAGGAAATACTGAGGAGAAAATGGACATGGAAGAGAATCCTGATGAGCAGTCTGAAATAAGAGATATGTTTGTTGAAATGTTAGATGATTTTAGGGACAATCATTACCAGATCAACAGTATCCCAAAAAAGCAGTTATTTAAACATTCTGCCTGTCCTTTTCGATGTCCTAATTGTGGCCAGCGATTTGAAACGGAAAATCTAGTGGTTGAACATATGTCTAGCTGCCTAGATCAAGATATGTTTAAGAGTGCCATCATGGAAGAAAATGAAAGAGATCACAGACGAAAGCATTTCTGTAATCTATGTGGAAAAGGATTTTATCAGCGGTGTCACTTGAGAGAGCACTATACTGTTCATACTAAGGAAAAACAGTTTGTTTGTCAGACATGTGGAAAGCAGTTTTTAAGAGAACGTCAGTTGCGACTGCACAATGATATGCACAAGGGCATGGCCAGGTATGTCTGTTCCATTTGTGATCAAGGAAACTTCAGAAAACATGACCATGTACGGCATATGATTTCTCATTTATCTGCTGGTGAGACTATATGCCAGGTCTGCTTTCAGATATTCCCAAATAATGAACAGTTGGAGCAACACATGGATGTTCATCTGTATACATGTGGAATATGTGGAGCAAAATTTAATTTGAGGAAAGATATGAGATCACATTATAATGCCAAGCATTTGAAAAGAACCTAAGTGATTTTCTACTGTACCTAATGTTTAGTTGATAGCAGATAAAACCAAAGCAAAGGATATGAGCTATTTAGAAACTGATTTTATAAGATGAATTGTTGGAAAAAAGTTTCAAGGCCCTTTTACCTTTAATATTTTTGTTTAGGATCTTAAGTATTACTTTTAGGCACTAAATGTTTATCATTTTTGTTGTTTCCTAATAGAATTGTTTTTACTCTTTCTTAGCTATGATTAAAATTATTTTTAAATGTAGACTACAAGTGGTTGTTACCCCTTACATGACTATTAAACTTTAGGGTACTTTTTTTATCAATAAGGTGATGACTTCACTATTTCTACGTGTTTTTTTGTTTCCTTTTTTTTTTCCTTTCCTTTTTTTTTTTTTTTTTTTTTAAGGTTATCCTGAAAATTGAAACCCAACAGCATTGGCCATTCCCATATAAATTTTTTTTTAATGTTCAAGTAATTAGTTATTTGAGTCTAACTTTTAGGGGTTTTTTTTGGAAGGGGAGTCAGTTGAACAGTGAAATAGCTACTGTTTATTCTCCCTGATTATCAATGAAATTCATATTCTTAAATTAACAAACTTATTAGGCAAGTTAGGTGCACTGAATCTAACCTTTAAGGTTGACATAGGCTCAGATTTGGCCTAAAAAGATGATGGACCTGAGGAAATTCCTGTAAATGAATATTTCCTATAATTGATAAAATATTATCATTTAATAATCACTTTTAAAACTTATATTAAGTGTAAATCCCAATGACTTGACCCCACTTGAGAAGTTAGTGGGGTAAGCCATTTTGTTTTGTGATATTGAATTTAACTATGATAGTTAATTAAAAAGACATATCTTGTATTCATTAAAATATTTTAATTTAAAATATTCTGATTTTTAAAGTGTGTTTATCAATTATTTTTGTTTATAAATAGACTTTAATAGCTCTTTAAGAATATGACATATAAATGAAAATGATTTTTCACCTTTAAAATTACATACTTTTGGAACTTTAAGACTTGAGAAAGCTACCATGTATATTGATAAATCTAATAAAATAAAGAAATCAATTATAAATCTGGTTGTTCTATAAAAGTAGAGTGCACAATGTCTTGTGGTTTATACTATCTAAGATTCCGAGAAAATGTATTGTAGTAAATTGCAGCTTATCACCATGTCTTTTTTTTTTTTTCCTGTAAAGATTTACAAAATTTGAGGACTATAAAATAATTACAAAGTATATAAGTGGAAATAGTTAATCATTTTTCACCTGAAGTATTATTATTGTTAGTTGTGGCTAACACAGGGTCTACTTCAATTACATGTGAATTAAAACACTGGCAAAATAGACCCACCAATAAACCCATCTATTGAAAAGAATGCCTTTTAATGTGAATTACTTGCAATGTAATACCCCTTTCATAATAAAAGGGATTTTAATTAACTACTATACTTAAAATATAACTTTGTGATTATGAATAATAATTTAATAGCATTGCTCTTTTTGTCCACATATTTTAAGATATTCAAGTCATATTTTTATATACAATTTACATAAAATAACAAGTTGCCAAGAGAACTGAGAGACATATTGACTAGTTGAAAGTATTAGAGTACAGTACAAGCTCAAAGTTTTATGGGGAAGTTTGTGTTAAAGTGTTAAGTAAGATAGGAATAGCGCAGGAACCTATGCAGAATTAAAACAAAATAATGGGAAGTAGGGGTGAGTGTGAATACACACACACAAAAATGAGAAGTCATGAGTTTCTTTTGAAATCACATATAATAGAGCAGAAAAAATGATTCATCTTAGTCTCGAGTACAGTAGTTTCTCAATTATGAAATGCAATTTAAAATGAAAGACGATGTATACATAACTGGTAGGTAATAAAGTTCTCTAACCAAGAGATCATCCAATAGTATAAATAGGTAAGATAAAACAAATTTCCAAACAGTAGTATCTTAGAGAACATAATTTTCTTTGGGATCACTTTTTTCCCATGACCCTGATCAAAATTTCTGTTGAAACCGCTTTCCCAGCACTAAACAAGGCTTTTTCTAAATAATACCACTCTTTGAAGAAAAGATGATCTATTTCACTAGAAAGAAGGGTTTAAGTTAGTGTTTTAATATGTGCCAACAGTTAGCAAATAAGTATATAAACATTAAATATAACCTCTAATTATACATGACTGAGATGTTTATAGTTTCACAAAGCTGCTCCTCATGTTTTTCCCTAGTTTCATGTTATGAAGAAGACACACCTTTTTATTTTGGAACTAACTACAGGACAGCACAGGCTTCTTGAAGTAAGACGCACAAATGTCCTTATCAAGGCAGAGACTTCATTTAAAGGCTGCCTATTAAAATTAGGTAGAATGAAAAATGTCTAGCACTAATCTCCAACTCCCAGTTTCTCTTCTCTTCCTCTACTGTGGCGCTCTAGAGCTGTAACTCCTTGCTATTGCTTTTTGCCTTCCTAGTATATGAAGGCAGTGAAGCAAGGTTGGGGAAGTTACCTGCTCCTTTGCTTTGGTGTGTTTAGGCTCTAAATATAAAAATGGAAGGAAAACCTAGATAGATCTAGTAGAACCTTGTTCTTCTTTTGGACTCACACAGTAAGACTTCTGCTTAACTAAAGGCCTTCTTGTTCCAAGTAGTAGGGACAATCTAGAGGAATGGAGTCAGCGCCTAACAAGTTTGTCAATTACAGAGCAACTTGGATGTTCAATAAATGCTTCCTAGTAAATAGGACTAAGAACTAAGAATCTCAGAGCTTAATAAAGCACAACCAAGGGAGCTTGGCAAGGACTCAGAAATTCCCCTTAATCTTCCCATACTCAGAAATAACCCACATGAGTAAATGGTTCATGGCAAATGTTTAATGTGTAAAGTAATTAGCAGTTTGAGTGTAGATAAAAATTAAATTAGAAGAAAGGATTCCAGTGGGGCTAGTTATAAAAATAAGGGCAGGGTGTGCTAGGGCAGTCAAAACACTATAATGAAAAGGAAAAGTAACAGACATGAAAAATTATATTTTACTGTAGTTAAAAATATGAACTATATAAAATTGAGTAAATCAGTTTGAAAATTATATGCGATGACTAGAGATTAAAATAGATAATGCTTAGTGGAACAATTGTTATAAACATGCCAAGAATATGCCTAAATACTTGTTGATACTAACTTTTATAGCCTAAAACAAGTGACAAGACGAAAGGCTGGTGGCAGTTAGCAACTTTCTCCCTGGTTAAATAATACTCATTCTATATCAGTAGTTAGGGAATTTCCATATTTAATAGATCTCTGGAAAATTCCCCCAAAACCAGTGTAACAGTTGTAATATTTAAACAAAACTTGCCATTGTTAACAAAACGCTAAATAAATACCAAAGAATAAAAACATGAATGTGTATGTGTACACATAGTTAATAAAATTGGAATATCTAATTTTAAATATATTTTTGCCATTAATTTGTTTTGAATAGTTCCTCTACTTCCCATCCCATCCCATCTCCTATCAAATTCTTCTCAGGGATAAATGTCAGTGCTCTGACGAGCACCGTAACATCAATAACTTCTAGGATTGCAGGGAGCTAAAAAGCTCTGGAGGAACATCCTTGTAGCATCTCCCATACTCTTGATACCTGAGGTGCAGTATACTGAGGAGGACTGGATGAATGCCAGGAAACTGAAGCAAGTATCTGAATTTTAAGCGGGTCACAGGTTTGGAAACTCATGATCCATCCATGGTAGGGTTCTCACTTAGTAATCCCAACGTTGAATTATTTAGCACTGCTCTACTAAGTATGTTCTATTCATAATTCTAATTAGTTCCTGGAGCTTAATGAGGTAAGTTTCATGCTGATTTTCCAGATGGGGGACTAAGGTTCAGAGAATTGTTTTCCAGAAATCACACTAATGATATAATAGAGCTAGAGTTTGAATCTAGAGTTTTGATTTCAACATTCCTGTACATGACTGCTAAGCTACATACCTCACCTACCAAGAAGTACAAAGAAGGCCTTTTCAGCCTAGGACACTTGTAATAAAGCTGTGAGACTGCTTGCTCATCTGTCATCTGCTGTCCCTGGTAGCTGGTAATAGTGAGTACCCAATGAACATACTGAACATGACAATGTGGGTGGAAAACAATCTATTTGGGTCATTTGGAATGATGCTTTAAAAATAAATATTAAATACTGATAAATGTTTTGATTTTCCTTCATTTAATCTTCTTTTTTTTTTTTTTTTTCGAGAGAGATTTTTGCTATAGGGTGTGTGTACTCACTGGAGAGACAGAATGAGATACTGAACATGACAATGTGGGTGGAAAACAATCTATTTGGGTCATTTGGAATGATGCTTTAAAAATAAATATTAAATACTGATAAATGTTTTGATTTTCCTTCATTTAATCTTCTTTTTTTTTTTTTTTTCGAGAGAGATTTTTGCTATAGGGTGTGTGTACTCACTGGAGAGACAGAATGAGAAATCATCCCCCAGGGAGGATGGCCACACCACAGTCTCTTTTCCTCCATTCTCCTCTTGGGGTTTTGGGCATACATGCACATGACCCCAGTGTGAGTTTCAAGCTGCCAGGTCCAGAACTTGAACTTTGGTCAGCCATGTGGGGGAGTCCAGTGCCTTAACCACTACACCACCTGCTGGCCCCCCTTTAGTTAATCTTAAAACTTAGGGAGAGCCATAGTAGGTGTGCAACTAAAAATTAAATTGAATTCAACATCCACATTTCTATGACTTATGTTTCACTGACTTTTCCCCCCTTTATTTTCCCTATCTTTTATGTTTTAATCTCTCCCATGTTTTAATCTCTCCCACCAATCTCCATTTTTTGAAATCAGTTTCATGACCAGTAAAAAAGACTCAAATAATTTTAAATTGAATGTTCCCAAGAGAAAGCAGATAACAGAGTAACCAGTTTTATTTTTTTGCTTTAACAAATGATAGAAATAAATGTGTCATTTATTTGGCTAATAAAAAGAACAGAACAACTCCACACCCTCCGAAACCATACTGTGACTGATTTAAGATACATAGAACAATCTAAGTTTATTTAAAAACAAAAGCAGTTATTCTAACCACTTACAATTCAATATACCAAAATATCTGTGGATTTATAGCATAAACATGTACTAGGGGACCTCAAAAAGTTTGTGAAAAAAAAAAACAAGTCCATGCATAACTTTTCATAATAAAGATTTTCTATGAACTTTGTGTAGGCCCCTCATAAAGACAGACTTACAAAAGAAATAAGAGATCGTTAGAAGAAGTGACACCTGCATAGCCACCCTAACCTAGAAGCAAACTTTTAAAAGAAAAGAGGTTATTTAATGGTTTAAGTGAAACAACTCTCCTACCATCTAAGATTATTTTATTTATTTAAGAATTATGTATTTATTTACTTTTATTTTTTAATCTAACTAAAAAGAGACAGACAGGGAAAGTCAGAAAGCAAACTGCCCCATCTGGGACCACAGTTGGCTATGTAGGAGTCCAGTGCCTTAACCACCATGCCACCTGCCAGCCCCATCTAATATGATTTTAACTTTAATCATTTAGTACCTGATTTCTATACAAAGGTTCTATACTGTTATGTTAAACATATTACTTTAATGATCTAGCTACCATCTGCCAAGTCATTTTTCAAGTAAAACTAGAAGAATGAGATGGTGAAGATTTTGAGACAATATTTATATAATTACTTGGCCTACTTTCACTACTGTCAAACTTAAGGACATATTACTTGGTTATATATGTGTATAGTCTTACTAAAACCAGGTAAATTTTAGCTGCTTACACATTCATATGCTCACATATAAAAAGGCAAGGACTTATGTTGATTGATAATCTGTGTATCACTTTTTTAAAGAATTATTTTATTTGACTTTATTTATCATTATTATTATTTTCCAGTTTGATCAGAGAGAGACAGAAAGAGGGAGAGGGAAAGTAAGAAAGCAAGCCACCAAGTCCAGGACTTGAACCACAGTCGGCCATGTGAGAGTCCAGCACCTTTAACTACCACGCCCCCTGTGTATCACCTTTTAAAGATCTATTTTATTTATTTTAAAAATTATTCAATTTATTATTTTGTTATTATTTTTAAGTTTGCTATAGGGCATATGTGCTCATCAGAGAGAGACAAAGAGAAAGCACCAGGTCTAGGACTGGAACTGTGGCCAGCCATGTGGGAGTCCAGTGTCTTAACCACCATGCCACCTACTAACCTTGTATATCACTTTTGGTAAATATAAACAAACCAACTAAATGGCAGTAATAGCTGGTAGATTCATACTAATGTTTAACCAATTTAATATCTCACACACACACACACACACATACATATATATATATAGAGAGAGAGAGAGAGAGGTTTTTGCTATAGGGTTTGTATGCTCGCCAGAAAGACAGAGATGGAGAGAAGAAAAGAGAGAAATGACCCCCCAGGGAGGATGGCCACACCGCAATCCCTTCTTCATTCTCCTCTTGGGATCTTGGGCACACATGCACACATGCCGGGCATGAGTTTAAGCCATCAAGTCTGGGACTTGAACTGCAGTCAACTACATGGGAGTCCAGCAACATAGCCATTACGCCAACTGCTGGCCCCACCAGTATGTATTTTTTTTATAATTTTTAAAGTTTTTTTTAAACCTATTTATTTATTTAACTTTACCAGAGAGGGACAGAACAAGAGAAAGAGAGGAAAACTGAGAAAGCAAGTCGCCAGATACAAGACTCAAACTGTGGTTGGCCACCATGCCACCTGCCAGTTCCCCACCTATTTGACATTAGCACTGAGAAATTAAAATCCTATTGAAATTGTTCCCTTATATTTGAGAGAATAAATCATTGACGTCAGTCAATAAGTGACGAACTTGTTCATCCTTTCTATCAAAATCCTCCATAGAGCACTAGGGAGCCAGAAATCATTACAATTTCTCATTATCCTAATTATTTCCTGATGAAAAAAGAAAGATGGTATAAAGATTACAATTCAATACTTGGTTCTGAAGGGAATGTATCAATGTACCGATCATCGTTGTATTAAGAAATCACCGGACAGACTAGAGCCAAAGGATAATAAAACTTTAAAAGATATTTCAGAGTCAGGAATATGAATCATTTTAAGTAAGAAAATTTGCATAACCCTCTATTTACCTAGTTAAAAAAGGAATAGAGTTAAGGTCCTCCTTTAAGCTTTATTAAAAGTTACTATGTTGTTTTTATTCTACTTTAATGGCTTTATCAATCAGAGCTTATTTTTAGGCCATAGAAACACAATTATAAACATCCAGATTTTGAAAATCATCTTTTCTTTCAAATGCTTATTTTCTCTGATGTGGTAAAAACATTTTAAGAGATGTTGTTAGTGTGTATGTGTGTGTTTATAAAGGATCATTCTTATTAGGGCAAAGCATTTTTCCAAAAAAAAATTTCTACCTAGAACCATTGGGGTAGGCTAGGAGAATTTGGAATCTAGACATTGGAAATGTTTATGTTCTGGGGTGTGTGTTGTACCTTCATTGCAGAGTGGACAGCACTTAGTATTTGAAGAAAGCAGTGTAAGTGTGATGGCTGAAAACAGTAAAAAAAAGCAAGAATTTTAAAGTTTGCAGGGTTTACTTTCAATCAGAAATTTGACATTAACAAATTACATTGTAAAATTATTTTATTTGAAGGGAAACCTTTCTTAACTGCTCCTCTCCTCCCTTCTTTTACCTATCTGACCTCCCATCATTTTTAATGTTACGTTTATGTGCCCTACCTGTTAAGTTCAGACCATGCAGTAATAAAAATAGATAGATAAAGAATTATGCTAGTAATAAGAATATACCTGAAAGGTTAAATAAGTTGCTTTTGATACATAATTAAATTTAAATTCTAGGAGCTGTGCTTTTGTTCTCAGTCTCTGTTCTTTTAACAATATGTTGGCCTAGTGCCCAAAGCCAAGAAATTCTGAGCTAAGAATTATGTTGTGTCTTGTAGAGCAGTCACCTTGTAATATTATTTTTCTTGAGTTTTGTCTTTTTCTGTGTGGCAGTGGTGAAATAGGGCCTTCTAAACTTCTGGAGAAGTGAGAGATCTGAATTTGGAGAGGACATGGGGAAGAACCAATCTTCAACAGATAATCTTTAAGTGCAGACCCAGGATATCAGATCTGACGTGGCACCATCTTTTCTATCTTCCTGACAAACTTCGTCAACCCCAAAAGTTCCAGTTGCAAAGACCCAAGAAAATTCAGTAAAGATTACTTTGGAACTATTTTGATGTAACAAAATTGATTCATGGTGACTCTCCTAGGATTTGTGAAAAATCTGCTAAAGAAACATAACTAGAAAATTTACGCAACATCAGTGGTTAAAGCTACACTAAAATGAAACTTTACATGCTAATTATATTCAGGAGTCCCTTCTTAAATAAAAGGGCTTGGTAGCCTACTGTAAATATAAAGAGAGATAATCACATATCTGTATAAACAAATATATAATTCTAAACTTAACCAGAATTATAGCTTACTTATTATGAAATGTAGTTATACATTTCAAAAAGATACACCCCAAAATGTGTTGTTTAAAGAGTAAGTTAAAAAAAAAAGGTGGGTGCAGAGGAAAAAAATAGTAAGACTAATATTTTAATAAGGTAATCGAGTCATTACTCACTGTAATGTAATACTTGCCCATCTTCCTTTTTCACTGCATATGCCAATCACATAGTTGATTATTTATATTAATGAAGCTCTTTTTAAGTCTCTCGAAGAAAGAACAAAAGTGGTATTACTTCAGTACTGGTATATTTTCACATCACAGACACATTATTTTCTTCTGAATTTAGCAATATAACCTAATCAGGTAGAATTAATTTCTGTTAAATATTTATTCTTGGTACTAATGTATCATGCCATGTTTCTCAGCTTTTAAATTGCAAGATAAAATTTAAGTATCAAATGAAATGGCTAACATAGTTTTAAAAAAAACTTTCATGGAGAAATTAATATTTGGTAAAATTTTCACTTGGCCATAAATGCTCCGTTATACATACACATATATTTCTTAACCGTATGAATCTTATAACCATATTATTTCCTTATTGTGAATATACTTGTTAAATCCTTTCACTTTTGGTTAAATTTGTACTCAATTCCTTATTTTGTTGCTTGTGCAATATCAAGATGTTATGTGTTTTTCTTTTAAAGAAAAGCTTTATTTTTATGTCTATTCACATGTTTTAATAGGGAGTTGCACAAAGAAATCTAAACAAAAGTATACTTAAAGTATACTTAATAGTATATGCGGAAGTTAAGTCATTTAAAACCCTAGCTATAAAGCAAGATGATAACTGAATGTTCATTATAATTCAACTAAATGAAAATCAGAGAATGATTTAATTACAATGTGGTCATGGGTAGGGGAAAGAACAGAGAATAGTAATTCACTAAAGAATTCAAATATATATGAATTCAACTATTCTAAATAAGTCTAGAGAAGTATTAGAGTCTACAAAACAGTAATCTCTTTTCAGAACATGAGAAAGCATACAGAACTGCTAACTTCTAAAAATAAATAGGAAAAAGGAAAGATAAAAAAATTACCAATAGCTAACAGGGCCAGATCAATATAGTAATGATTCAACAATTTTTGATGGCTTAAATTTTGCCTGTACTAACTACAAATGTAATGAACTGCAATAATTATAAGTGGTATAAATGCATTCTATAATGTGATTATTTTCTGTATAGTAATATAAAATGGAATGATTGGATTACGTTCAGAACTTTTGTTACCTTCTTAAATTCATTGCTTTTACCTAATAAAATTTCCTTCTCTACATTCAGAAGTTAAACTGTCTGTATATTACTTTTATTGAAACTGTGTTTTCTTTAACCTGGCTCTTTAAAAGAAATTATTAGTCTGAAAAGTTATCAAGTCTTCCCATCCTCTAATACCACAGGAATGAAGTATCTGACTAGCTACCTACAGTTTACGGAGTAGCTGCAGAAGTCCACAAAGAGGATAATTCTTGTTGCCAAATCCCGATTTCTTTCAATATGAGATGATTGGAAAAGTACTATCTCACGGAAAACACAGATGGCCACAAATTAATTGGGTGTCCTCATAATGTAAAATAATTATTTATCAAAATGCACTAATTAGCTCTTTCAGAGAATCAATTTCTTTTTCAAAATAACAAAAATAATTTACTAGTCAGAAATAACTTCTTTGCCCACGTAATTCATTTTATTTTCAGTTAAAAAATGTAGGAGGTATTAACAAGAATGGCACAGTGAGTCTAATCCTCCATGTACAAAATAGTATCACTTTTCCCAGGTTAGTTCAGACTGCTCCACCAGGGTCTGTCCTGAACATTAGCACTCAAAACTGAAAACGGCCACAACCTGACTGCTAGGTCACAGGTTCACTTCTCTTCTGGAAAAGCCTTTTTCCAGGTTCGGATCTCCTCAGTCTTCCATACCAGGTATAGTGGTGTCCTATCCCAGCCTATTATGTTATCTATAGTTAAACTGTAATATAATGGATCTTTTTTTTTTTCAAATGTGCCAGAGGGTGTGGAGAGAGATAGAAAGTGAGAAAACATCCCCCATGGGGCATGGTTGCACTGCAGTTCTTTCTCTATTTCTTTGTGGATTTTGTGCACCAGGTCTGGGACTCAAACCACAAGGACAGTCATGGGGGGGTCCAGTTGCCTTAACCACTGTGTCACCAGCTGGCCCAAGACTGAATTTTTCAAGATTCAAAGAAACAAGTGGTGATTTTTTTCAATAGTGACAGATGACTGGAGAAATATGTTAGGACAAAGCACTTTTAAAGAATTACAAAATGGCAGTATTTATAGAGATTTTAAATATAATCATTAGTTGAACTCCAGTTTGCTCAAATGTCCTCAAATTATAGGCTGTCGGGGACCAGCAAGTGATGTGGTGGTTAAGGTCCTGTACACACCCACATGGCCAAACACAGTTCAAGTCCCAGACCTGGTGGCTTGCTTTCTCACTTTCTCCTTCTCTCTCTCTCTGTGTCTCTCTCTGGTCAAATTAAAATAAATAAATAAATAAAATTAATTATTTAACAATAAAAAATTATAGTCTTTTACTCACGATACCTTCTCTTCAGGTCAACATTATCCTCAAAATAACCTCCACCCTTTATGATGGTTGTGCTGTGTAGGCACTGAGAGGGTTCTAGGAAAATCCACAGTTTCTCCTTTTAGTAATTGTGTGTACGTTTCTTACAGAATAAAGAGCAGTTCTAATACCTAAGCACATAGTTTTAAACCTCATCTTATTCATCATCGTCTATCTAGTACAATTATTTTTAGACATGAATTTGTTTCAGCTTTTGGTCTCTGCAATATCATTTAGTACAAAAATATAAAAGCTAAGAGGAGGATCTTCCTCCTGTATAGGAAACAAACAATGTAAACACTGTGTTTGAGAAAAGTTCAAGATGCTATTTAAAGTATGAAACATACAGCCCACCTTCAGTGGTGCAAACAGTAGGGCACTGCTGTGCAGGGCCTGAGTCTCATGGGAGGCCTGAGTTTGGATCTGCGAGCACCTGAACGCACCTGCACGGTGGGGCACACTATAATGCCAGCTAACCAGGAGGCTGCAACAGGAAGACTGAAAAATATCTCTTTGTCCTCCCTCCTTTCACTCTTTCATAAAAGAAAAAATGTATACAACATGAATTTACAGGGCAAAAAGTTAGGACAGGACAATATATGTGCATTACTCGCTAATGAAAACACAGATATAATTGCTACTGTGGTTTAGGGAAACTATGTTAGAGACCTGTGGTAATTAGACACCAAGATTTGTTTGTCTTAACTGAGCACAGAGGTAGGACACAGTGACTGTGCAGAAGAACCTGGTCCTTTGGAAGCTTTAATTTCAGTGTGTGTGAGAACTCTGGCCTGCTTGCTGTTTTTCAGTCTTGCTTTGCATGAGGTAAGTGTGTGCCAGCTGAGCGAAATCTGAAGGGTTTGTATTCTGTTCTTTCAGTTGTAGCTAGGACGGTCTTGAAATCCCATTTCATCAGTTCTACAAATAATTCGTATCTCTCTCTGGCTAATTATTTTTCTTTTCTTTTATTTTTTTTAAAGGCTACATAAAACAAGACTTAACAAGAATAAAATCTAGAGCTCTGAACTCACAATTCACGGTGACTTCAATGAGAAATGTTTTGATGTTATCCTTATTTTCCTAATATTTTCTTTAAAAGGTTTCCTATCTCAGTTTTCCCCCTTCTACTTCATGGAATAGAAAAATGAGAATTAGAGTTAAAATCAGTAATATTTAACTAGTCAGATAAACAAATTAGTAGCAAATGTGTTTTTAAAAATTGGAAATTACAGCGACCAGCAGTTATCCTAATGGCTATGTCGCTGGACTCCCACGTAGTCGACCGCGGTTCGGGTCCTGGACCCGGTGGCTTAAAATTCACGCCGGGTGCGTGTGCGTGTGTGCCCAAGATCCTGAGAGGAGAATGGAGGAGAAGGGATTGCCCCATGGCCATCCCCCCCCAACCCCGCGGGGGGGGGGATTTCTCACTTTCTGTGTCTGTCTGTCCGGCGAGCGCAGGCGTCCTATAGCAAAAACCTCTTCAAAAGAAAAAAATTGGAAATTACAAACAGAAGTAGATGACTCTCACATGTTCATTGATTGACTTTATAAAATTCTGCCAGCAGAATTTCCATCACAGCTTTTCTCCAGCACTGTCTCACATAACTTTCATATGGGCCACACCTTACTTGTCTGTTTGAAAGAACGGTTCTCCCCGCCCATGGACACAAGAAGATCCTGGCACAAACAGGGTATTCTATACAGTGTCCTGTTTACCTTAAGAGACTGTTTCTTGCCTGTACCCCTGGCCATCTGGTGACACTAATCTTTCCTGTGGGACGCCTAGCTCCCCCAGCACACATTTCTCTATTTGCTCCACCACGACTTTTGTAAAGAACCCCTCAACTACCCTCTTTGCTGACGAAAGGCAGAGCCTGGCTCAGGCATGCCACCTCCGGGAAGCCCCCGCCGACTCACTTCTCCCGTAGTCTGAACGAGCCCCTCTCGCGTTCCCCTAGCACCTGTTTTCAGGACTTCTTTCGAATTCGGTTTACCTCTTAATAGACTCCTAACTTCTTAAGGCAGGCCCTTTCATTTCTCTCAAGTCTCACCTAGTAGGTACCTGGCAAGGGTTGCTGGACGAACGTCTGTCCCCTGCCACCTGCCCCCAATAATGTGAAGTTATCGCTGTCCTTATCTCAGGGTATCGCCTCCTTTCTGAGCCGGTTTACGGGAGCCTGCTTCTGCCTCCTAGCACCCGGGGCCAGGTAGCACTTTCCAGACCTGTTCTCGTATTCCTTTCTACATGGGCCAAGGACGCAGGCTGCCTTTCCTCCACCTCCTCTCACGGAGGTTTTCTGCCTCTCCCGCGACTTCGGCGTAGCTAAAGAAAATAACCTCATTCAACTGGGCTCGGTCATAAACGTGTCTAGGTCACAAACACGACGGCGGGGGCATACACCGGGGACGAGGGGACCGTGCGGGGAGCGAGCCTGGTGTTTGGATGGGATGTCAACGTGTGGGTTTTGATTACTTTATAGAATTTCCAGTGAACTCAGGGCGGTGGATAAAACACTTGAAACCAAAAATGGGCAGTGGAGAACAAAAGGAGACGAAACGGAGAAGCTGAAAGAGGTAGGGCACGCAGGAAAAAGGAAAAGCCGGGCGGGGAGAGCGCAAACGCTGGCTCCTGCGGCCCAAGTGCTGTCACTCCGTCTGCGCAGCGGCCGCCGCGCGCGGGCGGGAAAACGGCCCGCCTCCCCCAGGGCTCACGTGCTTCCTGCCCGCCGGGCAGGTTCCATAGAGCGCCGAGTCCTCGCGACGCTGCGGAGCACGCCAGGGAAACTGGCAGGGGGGGGGGCCGCCGG